TTCAATTTCTTGTTCTCTCTCTTTTCCTTCTGGCACCCCCAAGATGCGAATGTTGGCACGCTTGAAGTTGTCCCAGAGGCTCCTTACACTATCCTCATTTTTTTGGATTCTTTTTTTCTTTTTGCTGTTCTGATGGGGTGTTTTTTGCTTCCTTATATTCCAAATCGATGGTTTGCCTCTTGGTTTTACCTACTCTACTATTGAATCTGTGTAAATTATTCTTTTATTTTTTTGTTCAGATAGAGTGGGAGGGAAAGAGAGGAAGAGAGAAAGAGAGAGAGAGAGAGAAACATCGATGTGAAAGGGACACATCGAGTGGCTGCCACCCGCACGACCAACCAGGGCCGGGGACAAACTGCAACCGAAGTGCGTGCCCTTAGCAGGAACAGAACCCGGGTCTCTCCGGACCGCAGGCCGACGCTCCAACCGCTGAGCCAAACCGGCCAGGGCGTAAATTATTCTTTATTTCAGTTAGTGTCTCCTTCATTTCTGACTGGTCCTTTTTTATGCTCTTGAGGCCCTCACCAAGTGCCCTGAGGTTCTCACTAAGTTCATTGAGCATCCTTATAAGCAGTGTTTTGAACTCAGCATCTGTTAGGTTGCTTATCTCCATTTTGCTTAGTTCTTTTCCTGGGGTTTTGTTCTGTTCTTTTATTTGGGACCTGTTTCGTTGTTTCCTCATTTTGGCTGCCTCCCTGTGTTTGTTTCTGTGTATTACTGAACCAGAGGTATGGGGCTATCTGAGACCAGATGCTGCTTGTTTGAAAGAATTTAGAAAACCTGAAGCAGGATCCAAGACAGGCCAATCCTATGGTTAAGCAACTGGCAACAGCTTGGGTGGGCCTGAAAGTTGGGTGGGGCAGGGTCCCAGGGAATCACCAGGGTGGGGCAACTAGTGTGAGCCAGGTTGCTGGAGGATTCACCAAAGGAACAAAGGCCTCTGACAGCACAAAAGCCCCCTCGCCAGCCCTCTCTCCAATGCCAAACAGCTCAGTTCTTCCCTGTATGTCTCTGGCACCCCTCGAGCTGCCTCCCCTCCAAGTTTAGAGGGAGTGAGTCCAATAAGTCCGTGCGCGATCCCTTTAAGAGGAGCTGCCTGGGGCTCCAGCTACCTCAGCCTCCCTGAGCCTCAGTTCCCACTGGTTTCTCCAGCCAGAAGTCATGGGGACTTCTCTTCCTGGCACTGGAATCCTAGCGGGGCACCTGGTGTGGGGCAGGGACCTCTCAGTTTTCAGGGAGGACCTTCCCAGCCGAGGTGTCCTCCTGATTTTTATCTGCCACATGTGGGTGTGGGACCAGCCCCTCCACCTCCGCCCCTCCTACCAGTCTGGATGTGGCTCCTCCTTTATTTCCGTAGTTGTAGGACTTCCATTCAGCTTGATTTCAGGCGGTTTTGAATGACGGTTGTTCTGTAGTTTAGTTGTAACTTTGATGTGGTTGTGGGAGGACGTGATACCGCATTTACCTACGCCGCCATCTTGACCGGAAGTCACACCTCTGCTTCTTAAAGGTGTGTAGCCTTGGATAAACCACTAACCCCGCCTGAGCCTCTGGCCCTTCATCTGTAAAATGGAGGTAGCAATGCCCCTTTATTGTGAGAATAAAATTAAATGACATATGTAAAAAACTTAGCAAAGGGCCTTGTTCATACTAAGTGGTCAGTAAACTGTACCTGCCTGTTACTATTACTACTACCTCTCTTCTTTCTCCTTGAGGTAGAAGGACAATGACCAGATTGTCTATAAATTGTGATTAAATGAACCTGATGGACAGGCTAATGCAAGCACAAACTGGCATGCATGTCAAAGAAAGAGCATTGTAAGGCTAAATTCATTGTGAAAAGCCATAATACTATAGAACATTTTATAGGCTTTTCAGAGAAGTATCATGAAATTATGGTAAAATAAAGACGTTGGAATTAAGGCTCCCTGAAATGCTACCATACAATCTTAAAACCGAAGGATTTCCTTTATTTCATATAAAATTCTCTAGTTAAATTTAGTGCAAGCAAAGAAATCATTTGGAATAAACTGTCATATAGGTGCCTGTGGTTCTCTGTTATTAATATGGAAACATAGTAAAACTCCTGCCCTCATACAAAGAATGGAGTCCAGAAGCTTCAGTCACATTATTGGAGGATAATGAAATAATTCCTAGCTAGTCACTTGGGAGTTCCTGGTGTGTGGAAGCCAGCCACCCATTGTGTTCTATTCCATTTCAAATTATTGTTGCATATATTTGAATGCTAATGACATGTCAGAATTTTGATAATGATAGTGAATATTTTTTTGGAAAAAGAAAAATTGCTTGGGAAAAACTTACATTGGTCTTTAATTTAGTTACTAGTTTTGTGGAAAAATGTAGTATGTTATAGCTAAACTTTTTTTACTATGACCCATAGGAAGAGATACATTTTATTTTGTGAACGAACACTACCTATGTATAAATAGGAAACAAACACAGTAGTTTTATGAAACAATATGTATTCCAATATTTTTTGTTACATGCTGTTTTAGTTTTAAGGAAAATGCTGTTTTAATTCACTAACCTAATTTTATGACCTAATGAGTCACAATTTCTAGTTTGAAAAAAATTGAATAAAATGACTATATATTAATTGAAACTTAAGAAAGGAATTCCAGTTTAAGATCAGCACAATTTCACTTGAAATATATCCCACACCCTTAGTAACTGATGATTAATAGGTGCCAACTCCACATCATTTGGCTGCCTAAAATGGTCTTTAAATAAAGGAAGAGGGAGAGAGTAAGGGAGGAAGGAAGATGCTTGTATATGCATAAACTCTTTAATAACGTGAGTTGTTTGAGGAACAGAGAACTGTGTATCTGTGGGCAGCAGTGGGGATAAGATACTTTAAATACAGTGTTTTTCATTCTTTTAAAATTTGAATCAGATTCTAAATTAATAAATAAATTCTGCTTCTACATTACTAGAGAAAAAAATGGGGAGGGGACTCCAATATGGATCGAGGTTTGGCAATAAAGATTGCTATGATAGGAGTTACAGCCTGTATGCTTTTTTTTTTTTTTTTTGCTGCCCTTGATCTAGACTGGCTATGTTGACAATACTTTAAAAAATGTTTAGTGACTCATTAAAAAGGGTTAATTTGTGTCTCACGCTCTGCTTATTATAGGGGACTATGTATTTTATTCTAGAAAGTTTTTATTTTCACTATAACATAGTTAAATATTTCAGCACTTAAAGTAGAAGTTTTTTGTTTTGAATTTTAACTTGTTATTTAGAAATCATTTAAAACTTACAGAAAAGTTGTAAAAAAGAAAAAGAGGAAAAATACAAATAATACCTGTTCTCAGGTTTACCTTTTGTTAACATTTTACTATATTTGCTTTATCGTTTTACCTATCTACCTATTTATCTGATTTTTTTTATGAACCATTTGAAAGAAACTTACAAATAATATGACCCTTTATTCCTAACTACTTCAAAGTATATTTTCTACAATTAGGGATGTTCTCTTACTTAACTATACTATAGTTATTAGCTCTAGTAAATTTAATATCAATAGCATACTTTTTTCTAATCTACTGCCCGTTTTCTATTTTTGTCAGCTGACCCAGAAATGTCCTTTAGAGCATTTTCCCCCATCTCTGGAACAGGGTCTAGATTAGGTATTACATTTAGTTGTGTCTCTTTAGCCTCCTTTAATCAGAAACATTTCCACAGCCTTTCTTTTTTAAATAACATTGAGATTTTTAAAATAGAATGTTGATTATGCTGATGTTCCTTCATGATTAGATTCAGATTATGAATTCTTGGCCAGAATACCACAGAGCTGATAGGTCTTTCTGAGAGTATCTCATCTAGAGGCACAGGCAGTTCATCTGCCCCTCATACTATGTTAGAGTAGTTGGTCCAGGTGTTGTCATTTCTACTGTATAAAAAATATTTTTTCTTTGCAACCAATGAGCAATCCCTGGGAAGACATTTTAAAACCATGCAAACTCACCTATTCCTCACCAAAATTTCCACCTAGATTTATCATCCATGCTTGGGCCAATCTTTACTGCGTTGATTGCAAAATGCTCATTTTTCTAATCCTAATACTACCTCCACATTTACCAGCCAGTATTCAGCTTTCTGCTGTAAGCAAGAGTCCTCCTTTTCTCCTAACCCTTTTATTTGTTGTTCTTATAAACTCATACATTTCTCTCTCTTTCCTGTATGGTATATAATTCATTACTATGTGAAGTAGATGATTTGATTCTGGATTTAGTGGATGACTTCAAGAGGTCAGTCACCACTTTGAAAATATGCGTCAAGTTCTGTGTTGTTTGAACATCTTTCTGGGGAGAATATCCATGACTTTCATCAGAATCTCTAGAGTTCTTGATCAGACAGGATTAATTAAGTTCCATAGGTTGAAGGATTAAACGTTTAGCTGTCTATAAGGCTCACATATTTGTATATTCTTTTATTCCCCTGCTTTCTTTCCCAAGTGATAAATAACTGAAGTGTTAGTACCCTACTGTGTGTTCCCTCTGTAGGTACATTCCCTTTTTTTTTTTTGGTCTACTTTTTTTAAAAATCCTCACCCAAGGATATTTTTCCGATTTTCAGATAGAGTGGGAGGGAGGAAGGGAGGGAGAGAGAGAGAGTAACCTTGATGTGAAAGAGACACATTGATCGGTTGCCTCTCGCACGACCCCAACCAGGGCTGGGGAATCAAATTGCAACCAAGGTAGGTGCCCTTGACTGGAATTGAACCCACAACTCTTTGGTCCACCAGCCGATGTTCTGACCGCTGAGCCAAACCAACCAGGACTTGTCTACTATTTTTAAACCGCAACTAAAAATAGTATTATTTTAGTTTAATTTTTTTTGCTGGAATATATAATGTTAATATCTTCATTGCCATTGTAGCAAAAGTTTATAGTGTAAGAGAACTAGTCTTGTGAAGCAATGAATTAATTACCTTGATTTACTTTGAAATTTTAAAACCAATGTTTTTTATACTGTAGTTTTATTAGCTCTCTGGGAGTGAGCTACATGATGTTGTGCACTGAAAGTTACCCCAATGTTCTGGCCTTCTCTTTCCTGGATGAGCTTCAGAAGGAGTTCATTACTACTTATAACATGATGAAGACAAACACTGCTGTCAGACCATACTGTTTCATTGAATTTGGTAAGGGCTTGATTTTTTTCCTTTTCATTATCCTGTCTCTAGCCAGTCATACTAACTTTTTATATACCACTGGGGGGAGGGAGAAAGGGAGGAGTAAGGGAGAAAACTCAGAAAATTCTGCTCCCTTGCTTTTGATAGAATAATTTGACAAATGGTCTATAAATCATGGCAATATCTTTATTTAGGTGCATATTAGAAAAAATTGTGTTTGAGCTGTGGAGGTGATTTTGATTATTGGCATAAAGAATTAATCCCAGAAGATAGTTTCTCAATGAGAAATTTATAAGCCAGAGATTCAGAATATTGTGTTTATGTGATCATCTTTTATAGTCTGCTTAATGGCAAACATTTGCTGAAGAGGACCATATTACCTATTGTAGGCTTTGAGCACCATATGGTCTCTGTTACAACTACTCAGCCCTGCCATTATAGCTGGAAAGCAGCTATAGGCAATATAGAAATGTATGAATGTATTATATTCTAATAAAACTTTATTTACAAAAACAGTCAGCATGCTAGATTTGACCTGTGTGCATTAGTTTGCTCAACTCTAGATGTCCAAGGGAAAAAAGTAGTAAAACCAAGTTATAAACCATGAAAATAAAATTGGAAGATTATTTAGAAATATCTTGGAAGATATTTAGGAAATGTCTTTTATTAAATTTACTTTTTAAAATATGCATTCTTATGGTGTAAGCAATAAATAAGAAAACAGGTTTATAAGAACATACCATTTACAGTGTATGTTCTTATGGAATTACAACTGATAAATACAGACTTACTATTTTATGAGGTGTGACTCTATAAAAATAAAGATTTTGGTTTAAGGATTAAAGCTATTATTTTTTTGTAGAAGTTCAAATTGATTGAAGTGGAAATAATAGTAGAAATATTCTCAGTCACGTAGTGTTAAATCATTAGTTTACTTACAATTATTAATTTTTACAGTATAATTTCTAGAGTGAGAAACTGATAACTCCATGATATATTAACCATTAAGCATAAATAATATCAGAATACTTTATGACAACTGAACAGTTTTGGATAACAAATTAAAGTTTATCTGTGAAATTTACTATCCATAAACCTCACACTCTCAAATAATTTAATTAACAAATGACTGCAAGGAAATCTATTTTTTATTCTACATAGATAACTTCATTCAGAGGACCAAGCAGCGATATAATAATCCTAGGTCTCTTTCAACAAAGATAAATCTGTCTGACATGCAGACAGAAATCAAGCTGAGACCCCCTTATCAAATTTCCATGTATGAACTGGGGTCAGCCAATGGAGTCACATCTGCATTTTCTGTTGACTGTAAAGGTGCTGGTAAGATTTCTTCTGGTGAGTTCTGGATCTCAATTATTTTTAAAATATTGTATAAGAGCTGAGGAACTCTTGAAAATGAATTACTTTATTTTAGTATTTTAAAGCAGGTACATGAGAGAATATAGAAGTTCAAAGTAATCCTTTCTCACTGGTTTATGTAGTAATCTACTAGACATGTGACTAAGGAGGAAAATACTTTTAAATAGCAATCTTAGAGGAACTCTTTGGTAGGGAAACATTTAAGAAGGTTTCTTTGTAAGCATATGTTTCTGGAAATGAATAGTAGTTTATTTGTAATATATGTTTATAGGCATGTGAAGTACTTTGCATTATATTAAAATGGCTGGCTATATTCAAGGCCAGGGTTTTTTTGGTGGTGGTGGTTGTTTTGTTTTGTTTGTTAACGCTCACCAGAGGATATTTTTCAACTGATTTTTTTAGATAAAGTGGAAGGAAGGAGGGAGAGAGGGAGAGAGAGAAAATATTGATGTGAGAGAGACACATCGATTGGTTGCCTCCCGTACAACCCCAACTGGGACAAGGGATCAAACCTACAACCCAGGTACATGCTCTTGACTGGGAATCGAACCAGTGACCCTTCAGTCCATGGGCTGACGCTCTAATCACTGAACTAAACTGGCCACGGCTAGGGCCAGGGTTTTTGATTGTCACAGAAAATGTGATCATCTACTCACACCTCCCCTCTTACAAGTACTTGTAACAGTTTGAAAACTTGTGCTTAAAAATGGAAACCTCATTATTTTATAAGGTAGCATATGCAATAGTTGAATAGCTTGTTTAAAAATTCTTTCTTATATTTGAGCTAAAGTCTGTTTCCTATAATGTTTAAGTTCTGGTCTTAAGAGGTTTAAGACCTCTACCTCCTGCTCTTCTGCTCTTCAGAACTTTAAAGTCAGTAACTTTGTGTCCTTTCTATCCTATTAATCTTATCAACTTCATATCAAATATCCTCAATTCCCTTAGCTGTTTTGTCTATGATATTTCGAAACCCTCCCTTACTTGGAAGCTTTGTATATCTTTAATTTGTTAGTATTATTCAAATGTGACATTCAGGACGGAACGCAATACTTCATATTTGATTTCTCTCATACAGATTATGGGAGAAAGGGGGAAACATATTTCACTAAAATAATCTGCCCACTTGGGAAACAAGTAAACTAACAACTAACAATAACAAGCTCTGGGGGTAAAGAGGTGGATGAGTACCCAGATTTGATCCAATATGTTACCTAAAATGTCTAGCAAGGTACCTTCTGGACAAGATGGCAGTGTAGGTAAATGCAGTACTTGCCTCCTCTACAACCACATCAAAATTACAACTAAACCACAGAATAGCCATTATTCAGAACGGCCTTAGGGAGCCCCATATCTCTTGCTAAGTGGCCCCAGGCCTGGCAATAGAGGCAGTCAGCCTTGGTTCACAGCTTGGCTTTGCCTGGGCACCTCTAAGCCCAGCACAAGAAACAGCCATCTGTAGATTGGTTTGTAGTTTATGGCTTGAGACCCTGGGTAGAACAAAGGCAGTGGCTGACCTTGCCCCATAGCTAGCACACCCAATGGACAGCTTTAGACCACATTGAAGCACCACCACCCAACCACCTCCAGAAGAGACACACTCAAGGAGGACTCAGTGGGTACCAGAGCCCTGCTGAACCAAATCTTGCTCTGTGTGGTGGGCCCCTGCACAACTGATCCTCCAAGGTAGTCAAAGGTCAGTGGTTAGAGGGCACAGCCAGTCCTTGCAGCTCATCAGCCTGAATAAATCCCTCCCATTGACATGCCAACAGCAATCAAGACTCAGTTACAACAGAAGGGTGTACAGTCCACACTAGGGGTGCAACTCAAGGGCCCAGCTGGGGTGATCAGGGAAGCTGTGCCACTGGACCCTAAAGGACACCTACAACAATAGGCCACCCTTTGAAGCCCAGGAAGCATAGCAACTCTACCTAATTCATAGAGACAACACAGGGAGGCAGCCAAAATGAGGAGACAAAGAAACATGTCCCAAATGAAAGAACAGAGCAAAACTCCAGGAAAAGAATGAAATGAAATGGAGATAAGCAATCTAATAGATGCAGAGTTCAAAACACTGCTTATAAGGATGTTCAAGGAACTTAGTGAGAACTTCAAGAAATTTAGTGAGACCATATACAACATAAAAGAGGACATGTCATAAGTGAAGAATGCACTAACCGAAATAAAGAATAATTTACAGGGAATCAATAGTAGAGTGGGTGAAGCCAAGAATCAAACCATCGATTGGAATATAAGGAAGCAAAAATCCCACACTCAGAACAGCAAAAAGCGAAAAGAATCCAAAAAAATGAAGATGGTGTAAGGAGCCTCTGGGACAACTTCAAGTGTACCAGTGTTCACATCATAGGGGTACCAGAAGGAGAAGAGAAAGAGCAATAAATTGAAAACCTATTTGAAAAAATAATGACAGAAAACTTCCCTAACTTGGTGAAGGAAACAGACATACAAGTCCAGGTAGCACAGAGAGTCCCAAACAAGATGAACCCAAGAGTCCCATACCAAGACACATCATAGGTTAAAGACAAAGAGAGAATCTTAAAAGCAGCAAGAGAAAAGCAGTTAGTTACCTACAAGGGAGCTCCCATAAGACTGTCAGCTGATTTCTCAAAAGAAACTTTGCCAGGCCAGAAGGGATTGGTAAGAAATATTCATAGTAATGAAAAGCAAGGACCTACAATAAGATCACTCTATCCTGCAAAGCTGTCATTTAAAATTGATGAACACATAAAGAGTTTACCAGATAAGAAAAAGATGGAATCCATCATCACCAAACCAGTATTACATGAAATATTGAAGGGTCTTCTTGCGGAAGATCAAAAATATGAACAATAAAATGGCAATAAATGCGTATCTATCAACAATTAAATCTACAAGCAAAATGAACAAACAGAACAGAAACAGACTCATAGATGCTGAGAACTTTTTGTTGCTTGCCAGATGGGCAGGAGCTGGAGGGATGGGTGAAAAAGATGAAGGAATTAAGAAATACAAATTGGTTGTTAGACTGATGAACCTCAAAGGGAAGGAGGTATAGGAGGAGATAAACCAAAGAACTTATATGTATATATGCATAACCAATGGACACAGACAATATTGTATGGAAGGCAGAAGGGGAGTGGGAGTAGGGAGGAGAGGGGATCAATGGAGGGGGAAAGGGGGGGTACATCTGTAATACATTCAACAATAAAGATAAGTATAAAAATATATAAAATATTAAAAAATGTTCAAAAAAAATTACAGGACATACAGAGGGAAAGTATAAGACATACTCTGGTGGGTGGGGCGGGGGAAGCAGGTAATGGAAGCTGCCCATGGCAGTGACCAGATGTCATATTTAACAGACAAAATCTTCAAAGTAGCCTTTATAATTATTTTAAAAGAACTGAAGAAAATCATGATTTAAAAAGTAAGGTAGGGTCCTGGCTGGGTGGCTCAGTTGGTTGGAGCATTGTCTCGTACACCAAAAGTTCAGAGCACATAGCTAGGTTGAGAGTTTGATCCCCAGGCGGGGTGTGTACCCGGGAGTGGAGTTGGGGAGAGGACGTGAAATCAGTACATGCTTCCCTCTCACATTAATGTTCTCTCTTCCTCTCCCTTCCTCTTTAAAATCAATAAAAAACATTCGGGGGGTGGGGTGGGGGGGTGAACCAAAGTAAGGAAGGTATGACAATAAGGTTGCATCAAATAGACAATTTAAGTAAAGGAATATAAATTATAAACATACTATAAAGAAAAAGAATCAAATGGAAATTCTGGAATTGGAAAATACAACTGAAGAAAAATTCACTAGTAGGGCTCAATAGAAGATTTGAACTGGCCAGAGAAAAAGTTGGTAAACTTGAAGATAGATCAATAGAGGTTATACAATCCAAAGGACAGAGAGAAAAAAAGAATGAAAAACAGAACCTCAGAAAAATATGGGACACTATTAAGCACACCAACATGTACATGATGGGAGAACCAGAAGGAGAGAAGAGGAAGAAGCAGAACTATTTGAAGAAATAATGGTTGAAAAGTTCTTTAATTTACTCAGAAACATTAATCTACTTTTCTAGGAAGCTCATTTAACTCCAAATAGTATATATGCAAGAGACCTGCAAATAGCTAAATCATACAAAAATGTTGAAAGACAAAAACAAGGAGAAAATACTGAAAACAGCAAGATAAAAACAACTCACCACTTACAAGAGAACTCCAAAAAGATTAACAAGTGACTTCTCAACAGAAACAATGGAGACCTAATGGTAGTAGGAGAACATGTTCAAGATACTCAAAGCGGGGAAAAATTGTGTCAACCAAGAATTGTATATCTTTCAAAACCGAAGGTAAAATAAAGACATTTCCAGATAAGCGGAAGATGAGAGAATTTGTTGCTGGCAGACTCACCTTCAAGAAATACTAAAGGAAATTCTTCAGTTTGAATCAAAGAGCAATGGTAAAGGTATTATAAAAGATAGTAGAAGTGGCCTTGGCTGGTTTGGCTCAGTGGTTAGAGTGTAGGCCTGTGGACCAGAAAGTCCCGGGTTTGGTTCCTGCTAAGGGCATGTACCTCGGTTGCGGTTTGTCCCTGGCCCCGTTGGGGTCGTGTGGGTGGCAACCACTCAATGTGTCTCTCTCACATCGATATTTCTCTCCCTCTCCTTCCTGCTCTATCTGAAGATAAATGTAAAAGTGTCCTCTAGTGAGGATTAAAAAAAAAAAGATAGCATTTTTCTTTTAAAAAGCAATTGTATAAGATCATATATATAATATATTGTCAGGCCTGTAACATAAAGAAATGAAATATGTATGTGTGTGTATATATCTATATATACACACACGCATATATATATATTTATTATTATTATTATTATTATTATTATTTTTGTACAGATAGAGTGGGAGGGAGAGAGAGTGAGAAACATCGACGTGAAGGGACACATCGAGTGGCTGCCACCCGCACAACCAACCAGGGCCGG